GCTCATTTGGGGCCCGCTGCCGCCGCTTTAAATCATATTGGCTGCGCCTCAGTCTCTGCCTCTGTGTGAGTGCAAGTGTGTGAGTGACTGAGTGTGTGTGTAAGTGTGCGTGAGCTTTCTCATCGCCACATTTTTCGCTCGCACACAGTTTTCTTCGCCTGCCTTGCCCCTCTCAACATCAACGTTCGCTCCAAGTGCTCGACGCTCGTCTGGGATTGGAAGTTTCCAAATGCAATTTTGCTGCCTTGAGCTTTTCGTCTTATTATCAAGCTGCCGTTTCTCTTGCTTTTTTTCTTTTTGTGTTTCTTGCAGGTTTTCTCCTATTTCTTTTTTTCTGTTTTTGCTCAGTGGGTGGAGACCTCGGTGCGCCCATCTCTCTCTCACTCACTCACTCTCGCGCTCGCTCGCTCGCGCCACCTCTGCCTGCCTGCCTGCCGAGCTCTGCTGATTTAAATTTCATGGTCTCCTCAATTTTAGCCAAGTTGTAATATTAAATTAAATTAAATTCCCTTTGCATTTTTCTTCCTCTTTTTCCATAGCCTTAAAGAATGCACTAGACAAATTTCTGCTAACAAGCACCGTTATTACACGTTTCCCACCCGTTGCTCTTATTAATTAATTGAAGAACTTTCAAATTGCAATTGGATTAGCATAAATAAGAGAGTTCTTAGCCTACGAGAATACATATTAAATATAATTTGCTTCAAATTTTCAATGTATTTAATTTGAATATCATTTTGAGAAGTAATTGAAAAGATTAACAACCTGAGATTTGTTTTAATTGCCTTTAAAAATTCCGTTGGAAAACTTTTGACTTAAATGCTTTCAAAAGGAAGAAAAATTTAAATTCTTGAATAATATTTGTTCATATATTATCCCATATATATTTACTAAAGTATATGTACATATGTATACCAGACAATATACATATATAAAATATGTAATGAGGGATAGAGTTCAGAAATAATACAAATTGAAATAAGATAAATTTTTGAATCTTCAAAACTATTTCGTTGTAAAACTCATATATTATATTTAATATAAACAGATTGAATTATTTTTATTTAAATCTTGTTTTTAAAGTCGCATTTTGAACATTGAAAATAAAATTTATATAAATTACGAATCAATATATGATTTCTCTTACATTTTTAAGAAAGACACGAAAAATTGAATAAAATGCATTCGTAATCCATATAAAAGCTAAATAGGTTGTTTACATCCCCTTTAAAACCCAATTCTTATATTTTTGTAATATATTTTACAAGTTTTCCTCAATTCTAGATATATACTTGGCGTTCATCTCCTTGAACTTGTGTATTAAATCACTTCAATACCATTTTGTTCATTTCTTTCAACGAGTCCGTTTTTGGCAATAACACCCACCCACACACACACACACATTCACGTGCAAATAAAATAGCAATTTATTACTTTTAATTGAATTTTCAAATGAATGCAAATTCTGTTCACTTTTGTCTGTTCTGTTCAGTTCGTTTTTTTTTTTTTTTTTGTTGGCACACAAATTTTGCATTAGCGCGTCTTAAATTTAAAACACCTTGGGTTGCAGCAACAACTTTGCATTGAAAACTGAAAAGGCAACAACAAGAATCTCAAACCGCAAATCAATCAACGTCTCATAAATTTGTCAAGACGGCGACAGTTAGACGAAAGCTGCGAAGCGAAAGAGGACAAGAGGAAGCGAGGACAAGTGTCGCTCGCTCTCTGCCCCTCTCGCTCTAACCAATGCAGCTCAGCGCTTGTGTGGGGGCAGGGGCTGAAGTGTGTACAAAATACGATCAGCTGTTTTGAAATGGAAACCAGATTAAGTGCAGCATCATCGTCATCATTATTATCTTTGTCATCGGGCCACAGCCCGGCAGCGGTGGCAACAACAATATCCTTGCCAACGCCAGCCAGCCAGCCAGCCAGCCAGCCAGCTAGCCAGCCAAAACAAAAAAACAAAGCAATTTTTCATTTTTTGCTAAAACGGCGGCAACATTAAAACGAGCGCCGGCGTCGACGTATCAGCAGCAGCGCCAGCAGCAGCCGCTCGTATTTGCCGTTGGCTGCCCAAAAAACAAAAATGGCGACCGGGCGCCGCGAGCCGGTTAACCGAAAAAAAACAAAAACAATTGGAAAACGGGAGCAACAAAAGGCAAACAAAAAAAAAAGACTAAAAGGACGCACAGGCCAAAAATGCGTTGTTGAAAAATTGCCTCGAAATATGTGTTAACTGCTTTTTAAACTGCCACGAGGACGACGACACGACGACGGCGACGACGTCGTCGCCAGCAGCAGCAGCAGCAGCAGCAGTAGCAGCAGCAACAACAATAACAAGCAGCAGCAGGATATGCATTTTGGGCCGTTGAATTTATCGGTGGGCGATTTATTATTGCACACAAAGTTCACGGTGCGAACAGCTGTTGGTGTTTGTGTTGTTTTTGTAGCTGTTGTTCCTGGCAGGATCATTGGCTAAGTGGCTGGATCGCCATGACGCCTGGCGACGGCGACGTCGTCGACAATGACGACAGCGACAGCGACGTCGCTGCAGCTTTTGAAGGCGTTACCTATTTGACTGTCGTTGTATGTGTAAGTGCTTCTCTTTTCGTATGCCTGTGTGCGTGTTCATGATTGTGTGTGTGCAAAGAGCGCAAAAAAATTGAGCGAAAGTTGAGCGCGTTTTGAAGTGACGGACAAGCGCAAGCAAGCAAGCTAGCGAAGGCGAAGGCGAAGGCAATGCACAACAACAAGCGACAGCGTCGTCTGGAGTGGCGGCAAAGACTAGAAAACACCTGAAAGCACTCACTGGCACAAACACGAAGCACGTAACACAGAGCAGAGAGAGAGAGAATACGCTCAACCCCAACCCCAGAAACCACCCAATGCCCAATGCCTGCGCGCACAGGTGGGGCGGCCAAAGAAGACTGAATGGCAAACTGATGCAAACTGCCACTCACTCAAGCGAAAATAACAAATGGGATTGGTTTTTGCTGATTTTCAACGCACGCACAGCGACGGCAACAGCAACAGCAACAGCA